CCCCCCCCCTTCTTATTTTTCTTTCTTCTTCTTCTTCTCACTCTTTCTAAGCCGATGGTCTATTGGAAACAAGTTCTCTACCTTCACTAGGTAGGGGTAAGGTCTGCGTACGCATTACTCTCCCAGACCCCACTTGTGGGAATATACTGGTTTTGTTGTTGTTGTAGTATATTTTTGTTGTAAATCTAGGGTGATAATATCATATCTAACTCTGCTTGGCCATTGAATTTGCACATATTTGTCCTGGTTTTGCCGGAGGATATCTATATTAGACCTCCAAAAGCCTAAAATCAAACTTCCACTATGCTTATCCCTCTTGAATCCATTTTGAGGCAAATGTATCTTTTGGTGTTAGAATCCCCATCTATAGAGTGCCTAACATGGGAACCTACTAGATATAGTTCCTTGAAAATGACACATGTCATCTGTACTAACATGAATTTCTTGGGTGCTCCAATTTTATTAAACATAAAGGGCATGCCCCTGATATGTACAAAGTCATATTTCCCCTAAAAAAATTCTTGTATTCCTTTCCCTAGGGGAGCTGCAATCCAGGTACTTCTCCTGCTTCCCTTTTGAATGCCCAATTGTGCATCACATCCTCACTGAAATTGGCATGTCTTATTGTAACAAGTTAAGGAATGTCTACCACATATGGATAGCGAACCAGTCGTGCATTAGAAGGTGATTTGCGTCTCTCCTCGTCACGTATTAAAGATTTTAGAAGAAGAAAAGGCATCTTTTTATATATGAGTGTGTATTTACATCCAAAGAGCAAGACTACTTATACTGGATGTCATATGACTAATTAAGGAAAAGAAATCAGTTACAATCAATTACAAAATCACAGCAGATCAATTTGAATAAAAAAACTAATCTCCTACAATTAGGGCTCCTACAATCAAGCTAGTAAGCACTCCCCCCTCAAAAGGTTTGTTTGTTGCGGCCTTTTGTAAATACACCAGTTAGCCGTTTTTCAGATGATACATGAAGCAAACTCAAGATGTTAGTTATGATCTTTTCTTTGATGAAGTGTCGATCGATTTCAACATTTTTCGTTTGGTCATGCTGAACGTGGTTATGAGCTATACTGATTGTAGCCTTATTAGCACAATACAGGGAAAGTTTCTCTTTTCGGACAATCTCAATTCCTTTAATAGCTTATGTAGCACAAAAGTTCACAGACACCCTGGGCCGGAGCTCTATATTCTGCCTCCGCACTTGATCTAGTAACTACACTTTGCTTCTTGCTTCTCCAAGTAATCAAGTTCTAGATCTTCTATCACTTAGATATCCAACCCAATCTGCATCTGTAAAGGCTTCTACCTGGAAGTGGCCATGTTTGGAGAAAAGCAGACCTTTCCCAAAGCAGACTTCAGATACCGAAAAATGTGAAAGACAACTTGCATATGAGGATCTCATGGATCATGCATGAAGTGGCTCACCAAACTGATAGAATATGCTATGTCTGGTCTAGTGTGAGGGATAAATGATTCTTCTAACCAACCTCTCATATCTCTCCTTATCAAATGACTCTCCAACTCCTGTTTGTAACTTGTGATTGCTTTAAATGGGCGATTCTGTTGGTCTGCAACATGTTATACTAGTTTCTTTCAAGAGATCTAGAATATACTTTCTTTGAGAGATAAAGATTTCTCTTTTTGATTTAGCAACCTCAATTCCCAAGAAGTATTCCAATTTTCTTAGATCCTTGATCTCAAATTCCTATGCTAATAACTTCTTCAATCGGGTCATCTCTTCTTTGTCATCTCTTCTCACATAAACTGAGAAGAGTGAGTTTATCCTTTTGATGTCTTATGAAGAGGGTATGACAATTTCTTTGTTGATAACCGAAGGAGATTATCGCTTTACAGAATTTGTCAAATCACTTCGATCCGCACAAGGATTTCTTTAGTCTGCACACCTTTCCTTAACTTTGTTCTGGGTCAAATCCAGGAGGAATATCCATATATACCTCTTTTTCTTAGTCTCCCCGAAGAAATGTATTCTTTACATCAAACTGTTGTACGTCCCAATCAAGATTAGTTGCACAAGACAAAAGAATTCTCATAGTATTTATTTTAGCAACAGGAGAAAATGTCTCTTGATAAATCCACTACGTAAGTCTGAGTGGATCCTATAGCCATTAATCTTGCTTTGAATCTTTGAATCGACCCATCAACTTCTGTTTCACAATGAAGACTCATTGCAATCAACCAACTTCTTATCTGGTGGTGAAGTGACAAGTTCCCAAGTCTTATTCCTTTACAAGGCCTTCATTTCTTCAATTATAGCTTGCTTCTATTTGGGATTTGCAAAAGCTAGGACAGTAGTTTTGAAAGCCTTTGGACGAACCTATCATGTGTCTATTCGCATCAGAATCAATAATTCAAGAATTAAGATGAGCATTAAAGGCAATAGCTGTCTGCACGTAATTGGAAGTGTCACCATTAGAAGAGTCAAGTTTGTCCAGGAGATGGCGTCGATGCTGAACTTCGGCTGAAGACAGCTTCTCCAGAAACGGTTTTCAGTATGTCTCTACATTTATTACAATATTAGCCTGACCTCGTGATGGACCTACACGTTTCCTTCCACGACCTTGGTTGGTCTAGCATGTAGTTTCCAACATGTTTCTTTTATATGCCTTGGCTTGGCACAATAATCACAGTTCAAGTGATCTTTATCATAAGTGAATGCCTTTGGTTGCTCATGAGACACAGTTAACCCACACTTCTTGGTTGATGCTAAATAAAGCATGACCCCTCGTCGGCTTTTTTCCTCTTGAACATCCTCAAGAGAAGGAAAAAGAATTTTACAAGAACTTAAACCTTGATTTGACTGTACTTTTGGTTCATATCGGCTAGAAAATCGTATACCTTTTTCTTAGCAATCAATTTTTGAAAAAGAACTACATCATCAGTACACATCATTTGGAGATCCTGGTAGTAGTCATTTTCTTGCCATAACCCATTTAACTCGGAATAGTGATCAGTGGCATGA